AGAAGTGAATTGTACAATGTGAAATGGGAAGAAAAGGGCTAAAGATGTAGGGAAAGTGGGAAGGGTAGAGGAAAGGTAATAAGGGAAAAGAAAAACTATGAGAAAATGAAAAAATGGAAATAAAGTGCTTGTAAATAGGGAAGGGAGAAGGGGGTGAAGGGAGGTCAGGGATAAGGGGAAAAATGAGAACCAAGACCTGTCATGTAAAGGTACAGGATCCCAATGATGAATGTAACTGTACTGCAGACCTAAGATGTACCAATAAACTCAATGAGAGAGGAAAAAAAAAAAAAAAGAACTGAATTGTAGCCAGGTATGGTGGTACACACTTGTAATCCCATCCACTCAGGAGGCCAACGCAACAGCACCGAAAGTTCAAGGCCAGCCTGGGCTACATAATAAGAACCTGCCTCAAAAAAAGAATTATAGAATATGTCCAAAGAGCTCTAATTTGAGGATTATATAACACATTAGGTACTTGTCCCACACTGTCAACTACTACAAAAGCAATTAATGTAATTAAAGTTCCATCCCCAGTACCAAAAAAAAAAAGGTATCCAGGGATACACCTGTGGCCCCAACTGCTGTGAGGCTGATGCAGGATGATTTCAAATTCAAGGCCAGCATGAATTACATGGTGAAACCCAATTGCAAAAACAAAAACCAAAGTTTCTATTATATAAAAAGGAATTTAAGGCTGAGCATGGTAGCGCACACCTGTAATCCCAGCACTGGGGAGGCTGAGGCAGGAGGATTGCTGAGACCAACCTGGGCTACAAAGTGAGTTCCAGGTCAGTCTCAACTACATAGTGAGATCCTGTCTCAAAAACCAAAAAAAAAAAAAAAAAAAAAAAAAAAAAAAAGGAATTTAGCACTGAACGTGAGAATAGCATTATTTGATGTCTGAATTTTAAAAGCATCTAAGCAACCTTTTACTGAGAAATACTGTGTGAAGCACTGTGCTGGCAGCCTCACACAACCGCCTCAACACTGCAGCACAAGTCTTAGGGTCTTAGAGAATTCAAATCACACGTCCAAGATCACAATACCAAGAGAGCCAGGACTCACACTAGGCCTGCAAAGGGTGATGAGCCCATGGTCTCCTGAGAAGCAACCAAATTTCCACCCCCAGTGCAGAACACATCTCCCTGCTCCCGAGTGCAGCTGAGTCCCACACACGAGGACAGTCACACTGCAGAGACCCCACTCAGCTGCAGGAGTTCCACAGATGCCCTGTCATGCAGATGTGGGGACCCACTCAGAGTCACATGCTATAGTAAGCATGGTGCAATTTTAAATGTAGCTTTTCCCTTTTTTTTTTTTTTTTTTTTTTTTTTTTTAAAACATGAGGTTTTTTTGTTCTTTTCTTTTTGTTTTTTGGAGAAAGGGTCTCACTCTGTAGTTGAGACTGACCTGGAACTCACTATGTAGCCCAGGCCAGTCTCAAACGCACAGCGATCCTCCTGCCTCAGCCTCCCAAGTGCTGGGATTATCCCTTTATTTTAAAGAATCAAGCATTTTATACAGCCAGGCCTGGTGGGTGTGAGCCTGTAATCCCAGCACTGGGGAGGCTGAGGCAGGAGGACTGCAAGTTTAAGCCCAGCCTGGGTAACTGAGACACTAAGAAAGACCCTGCATCAAAATAACAGACTATTTGAAAGGGCTGGGCGGAAGGCCTGGGTCCAGCCCCAGCTCTGGGTCTGCAAACAGAAGCCCAGTGGCCTCCCTAGGTGCATGCCGTGGCTGACCGTGGAGCGAACTCACGGGGTTGGGGGACAACAGACAGACGAATGGGACCTACAACTCTGCTTGGAGGAAAAGCAGAAGACACAAGGCTGCAGCCAGAGGTCGGCGTGTGGGGACAGTTTACAGACAAGTACTGGTCCAGACAGCTTCTGGTGACAGCACTGCCCGGAGGGCCCTCCACCAGCATATCTGCTGAACACCTGAAATATGGCCAAAAATGAGGTTTCTTACAAATTAATCCAGGGCCAGGCACAGCAGCACAGGATTGTAATCCCCGCACAGAGGAGGAAACAGTGCTGCCTAGTGATAGCTATAAAGTACTCAGGCTTAGTAGGTAAACATTAAAAGCTACCTCTCCAACTTGTACACGAACAAGAGATTACTAAACTGAGTCTGATTAGTTACATTACATAATTTCAAACTGAGTGTAGGCAAAGCGCTGTGGGTCTGTGTCATCCAGTCCGGCAGCTCACAGGCAGTGACTGCAGTAAACTGGTACGGAGCACATTGTACCCTGGCTGTCATGTGCACACAACAGCAAGGCCAGGGCCTCACACACGCTCTGTGCTTCCTCAGGTGCACCAGTTACTGTCAGATGCTCCACAGTCACATGTGGCTGGCGGCCACCTCACCGGACGCCATAACCGTGGTCAAGTCCTGCTGCATGACCATGCAAAGGGACAGTAGAAAGCACTGGTCATGGGCCTGGGTTTTCCAACTGAGTCACCAACCAACCTGCTGAGCAAGGGGGGGGGGACAGCACTGGGACAGGGAACTGTGTCCCATGCGCAGGGGTCTGGGGTCTGACGGAGTCAGGACCCTAACATGCTCCTGCCTCCACTAACAAACACCACGTTCTCAGGCAGCTCTGGGCCTCACCTCCTTTCCCGTCAATGACAAGCCTGGGGCAACAAAATGCCCAAGGGTGCCCCCCAAACTATTTTATAGCTTTATGGCCCACAGGATTAGATGCACATGGCTTCTCACTCTGCAGAGGCAGGCCCCTGAAATAAATGCCAGGAGTCTAACAATTTTAGTAAGATCATTGTTTTCTGCTAAAAAGAAAAATAAATAAATTTTAAAAAAAGAAAAATACAGCTAGGCATCATGGAGTACGCTTGTAATTCCAGCTACTCGAGAGGCTGAGGCAGGAGAATTACAAGTTTCAGGCCAGCCTGGGCAACTAAGCAAGATTCTGGCTCAAAATAAAAAAGGACCTGAGTCCAATCCCTGGTACCAAAAAAAAAAAAAAAGGAAAGGGGTGGGAAGTAGTTTAGTGCAAAGGCCCTGGGTTCAATCTCTAGTGGGGTTGAGGGATCCCTAAGTTTAAATGAAAATGGGAAAATATGAATTGCATAAAACATTCCATCTCTGTACAACTTCTTAGAAATACATTTAGAAGGCTCACAGAGGTGAAAGATAAGCCTTTGAAAACCTCTATCACTACTCAGGAAGGCTGAGGCAGGAGGCTGGCTTGAGCCCTGGTCTGGAGCCAGGCTGGGTGACACAGTGAGACCTGTGCCTTACACAACCAAACACAAGTGTGTCACCCCAGCTCTTGAAGTCTGAGGACCAAGGTCATGAGTTCTAGGGAGACCCTATCTCAAAATTAACCTCCCACAAAGAAAGCCCAGTGGAGGAGCAGTCTTCCAGGGGTGGAGAAACAGTAACCTCACAGCTCTGCTGCCTTAAAAGCTGAAGTTTCCCAGCCCATAGGACAGAACTCCCAGGGAAGAGCCAGCACTACTGTAACACTGCTGCCGCCCCATGGAACCACAGAGCACAGGGCTGGGACACCAACCCAGCACCCAAGCACATCTTCCTCCTACTTTCAGGGCCCAGACAGCAAGATACAGGCAGGCTCTGCGGGTTCAGAGAAGTGGCTGTGGCCAGCAGGCTCAGCATTTCACAAGGCAACATTGGGAAAAGAAGAATGGTAGGGGAGGTACCTGGTCTGTTTCTGAATTCCACACAGCAGCTAAAAATCCCACTGGAAATACATCTCTAATTTCTAAGACTTCCACATGATGTGATACTCTGAAAATCCTCAGTGCTTCTATACTTGAACTTGTTTCTTTGAGGAGATATTTTTAAGTCTGAATTAAGCTTTATTTAAATTCCTCTCTATATAAAAACAAGTCATTTCAAATGTCTCCAAAGACTTAATTCACACAAGCAATACACTTTAATGTCCACAAAACTACTCAAATAAATCATTATGAAACAATAAATGGTTTACACAGAAGATGGAAACAGGGATTTTTTTTCTTGTCACTTTTAACACAAACTGCCAAACCAAGGCATGGTGGCACAGGCCTGTAATCCATCACTCTGGGAGGCTGAGGCAGGAAGATCTTAACTACAAGCTTAAACTTGAGCCCAGCCCGGGCAAAGTAACAAGTAACTTGTCTCAAGTTAACAAAGAGCTGGGGATATAGCTCAGAGTGAAGGCCCTGGGTTAGATCCCCACTACTACCCCCTCAAAAAAACAAAAACTGCCATACTTGCTCTGTCCTTTCTTTTTCCATCTCAACTTTATTTAAAGCCAACTTACTATTTCAAAATCAGTCAAATGGGCATGGGGACCCACACCTGTAATCCATCTACTCAAGAAGGAGGCTGCGGCAGAACATTCTCCAGTGTTGGACTAACCTGGGCTACACAGCAAATTCAAGGCCAGCCCAGATTACATCGCAAAAACAGAAGAAAAACTGTGCTTGTAACAAATGCCCACTTCAAGTTGTCCTTATTTCAGCAGGAAGCTCCCTGAGGTCCTGAAAGCAGTCTGTACAGTCAGGCTTTAGTAATTCCGGCAGAGTGAAATGTTCACACTCAGAACTCTGATATAAACAGCACACTCGGTTGGACTTTTAAAAACCAACAATAGCACCTACCTAGGCCAATTTCCTAGCTACTATGAAGGTAACTTTTACACAAGCAATGTCAAAATGTAAGGCCAATTTCTACCAACACCATAAAGTACTATCTGCCCTTCATTATCAACCTGTCACAGATCTCTTCACAGCAGCCAAGATCTACTGGTATCAAGCATTTAATTTCAACAACTGACCAGCGGTTGCTTTTAACTCTGCTCTCCAGAAATGCTACACACTTCCACCTGTAGGGTATGTGTTTTTAAAATACAATTTAAGAAACTACTACTTTTTAAAATAAACTGCTGTCTCTCTTCTAAAAGAATTACAATGTGGACAGAAACATTTTCTCCTAATAGTTAAAAAGATTAAAAGGTGTACTTTTTTAAAAGTGGGGGGAAGAGCCACGTAGCCGCCGTGGGCAGGATGAGTCACCACAACTCCGAACTCTCGTCCGCTTTGAGTCAGCGCCGGGCCCCGGGTCCGCGTTCCCACGCGGGGACAGCTCCGTCCGGCACGGTGGGGCCGGGGGCACACGGCCCTCCAGGGCTCACCACAGTGACCGTG